TTGGGACGGGAGGGGAATGTGTTGCTGACAGTTTTGCACAACCTTGGATGAACTCAGTTCGCACCAAGCCCACCTACATACCTACTTACAATGGCCGCGACCCCCTCCCACTGACCCAGTGTCTGCAGTTGCAGTAGGGGTGTTTCCTGTTCTTTTGTGATGAATAGCTGCAGGGTGGGAAATGCGCCTCCACACAACTGATTGGGCCGGGAGGTATTGGGGAGTTTTAGGCGGGCTTGGATGAACTTGGATGGAGACAGCATGCGTCCAAGTGCAGGCACCCGAACCTATACAGATGTAGATCCTGGAGGCTTCCCAGTTCTTGGCTTTTGTTACAAAAGTCAGACACAGTTCAGTCCCTGGTGCAGCCTCTCACCTTGTGACTTGCTGGAACAGAAAAGTGCCTTCCCAAAAATGTTGTCATAAGGTTGAACGTGCACAACCGTCTAAAATGTATTAGTATGCTGCACCATTAACAGTACCCTCCACATACTTTTGGCCATATAGTAGGTGTGATGGCCAGGTATCTACAAATATTTAGCCATATGATGTACATCAAAGATAAAGAACTTGTTTCCCCCACTGATCTACTAGTATTGTCATCACAACAAACACATGATGTTCATATTAGGACAGAAAACCTTGTGGTGTACACAAAGACTGAGGTGCTTTTCTACTGTGAAACTCATCGAGTCTGTTATACTATCTACTAGGAATGCACCGATACTGGTTTTTCTGTACCGATATTTTTTTTCCGGTACTCGCTGACACAGATACCGGTGGTATCATGGCCTGGCTAATCAGGAAGCCGCCCAGCTTCCTGATTGCCTGGGAAGCCGGTGTTCTATCGAAACCATCATAAAGGGTTAACAAGTACTCTGTATAAGTCTTTAAAGTGCTTTACAAATATGAGAAATAAATAAATACAGATAAATATGTTTATGTCTTTGAAAAATCAATCTTCATTCAGCAATCTGTGGGAGGCACAACATTGCCACAAATGCACTTTTGCCATCTGCAGTGATAAACTCCAAACCATAAGTCACAAGCTGCAATATATTTTCTATAAAATTATACATGTTAAGTTGAGCATGACATTGGGAGCTCCGCTTGTGATCTTTGTCTCTGGCTCTACACGTCCGGTATCCTCCTGATCTTCAGTTGACTTCTCATTTAGAGGAGCACAACTTTGCACACTGAACTGTGGGAAATGTTATGACATGCCTATTGCCATAGTTACCACAGTAAGCGGGGAGCGGTTCCTGTCAGGGACCAATTTACTTCTCCAGAGGGGCACTGCCACCAAAGGCAAAGCCTGCAATGCCCACGAGTCTTCGCAGACTGAAATCTGAGCAGAGCAAGCTAAATGAACAGAAATTCCACACTGCCAAGGCAACTGGCAAAAGAGGATAAACATGCCAGATGGCAAAATACAAAGCAGATTAGATACAATATATTTAATGATTGCTATATCAAAGGGTGGTGGAACTGACATTCACCAAAGGATAGTCACTGTTGTTTTTAGTTGCCGTTATTAGTGCATATCTACCATTTAGGTCTAGCCTGATCTCGCCTATTGAAAACGGCAGAGATGCGCTGATAAGGATGGCTATGCCTCTGGAGTATGTGGATTATGTTGAATGAAAGGCTTAACCACCCCTAAGGCGTTTCAGAACTGTGACCTCTGAGCCAGTGATGTAGGTTTCCTGTAACAATATGAGGATTATGTGTTTTAAGGTAATCAAATACAAGGGAATTTTTTACCTTAGTATTCAATCTGCAAGCATTCCAGAACAGCAAATTAAAGCAGACCTTTACTCCAAAATGGTGATTTAAACACATACTCTTTGAAGAGTACATGGGAATCTGGAACCTCCAGCTGCTGATCATGTGACTAATGTAGAAGTACCTTGACCTATGCTAAAACGTCTTGCTGGTATTCCTTTTTATTACAAATGTCAGCATTGCATTGGGGTTTAATTTTAAGTTTAGTTTCAAACAGAGTGGGAAAAGGATAGGACCCCTGTCAAGTTTTTGGTGAGTGGCCCCATTGGAGAGATTTCCCCTCACTTCCAGTAGAGAAAGGAAATTATGGGAAATGTTTTCAGTTGGGACATTGACTGCAACAAACGTATAAAGATGTCACCAGCACATCAAAATCCTTTGAGGATCACAGTGTTTATTTATTGAAGACTTGTCATACAAACAAGCGCTTTTGGGGCCGCACAGAGTCCCTTCATCGGGCTTAGCATTGACGATGCTAAGCCTGATGAAGGGAGTCTGTGTGGCCCCTGAAAGCGATTGTTTGTATGTCAATAATCTTCAATAAATGAACACTTTGTGATCCTCAAAGGATTTTGGTGTGCTGGTGACATCTTTATACGTTTGCTGATATTGGTGGTGCCATCCGCAGTCACTACGAGCACCCTCCCACTACACGGGACATTTGGTAAGGAGTGCGACAAAGAAGTTATATATTGACTGCAACAAAACACTTATTTTCTGGGGGAAAAAGGTTAACATACCTTTTTGTTTATTGTCATGTGACAATTTCTCTAAAACAGTACAGACTAATGATTTCAGGACAGTGGTGGAGCGCCTGAGCCAGGTTCCAGCTGCAACTGCTGCGACCCTGGTAGTTGCCAAGAATCAGCACTGGTATCTGAACTGATATCTGTGCATCCCTAGTGTTTTTGCTGGCTAGCTGGTAAGTGTGCTGGGAAAATGTTGTGTTCAGTTTGTTATGTGCAAAGCCCTTCCATTTGCACCTTACTTTATAAAGCTAGTTATACATTGATTGGTGATGCTGCCATTTTTGTTTAGCTTGTGATTTATTATTACTGTCTGTGTTTTCCTGTCCTGGTGACCACAACTCCCCTCAATTGTTTTTCTTCAGTCACAGAGATAGAAGTGAAGTGTCACCTCACAACAATAAACTTTAGTCTTTCTAAGTCTCTTCAAAACCAACATAAAACATTTTGGCTGGAGATGGACTTTCTAACCCCTTTTAGTGTCAGTGCAGAATCTGTGCATAGATGCCATAGCTGGAACTAGCGTGAGCTCAGTAACAGACTTAAAGCCATCAGAATCCACTCATGATCAGCCAGTATGGTTGAGGCTTGTGTCTGTGTTACCTCCTTCCTTCTCCACCCTTTATCTTCGGTGGAATGACTGGGACCAGCATATACTATGCCATGCAACTACTTGGGTCATAAACCAGTCTGGCCTAGCACAGCAAGTTTAGCTAGTACTGGTGGCATGTGATTGTGCTGGTAACATTTTTGAATGATCAGGATACCTGCAGAATATCAGGGCTGAATGGTGCACAGCAGAGCACAGCATACTTGCACATTATGGCACACTTACCTCCTTGTATGACACAAAGAAGAACACATTTATTTTTAAAGTATATATAACAATGCAGGACACCTGCCACTGTTTGTGGTAGGTTGCCCGAATAAGTTCAATCATTACTGCACTAAAATCCAGTTGAAATTGCTGGAACACTGACATGATCTAGCCAAACATGGTAAAATCTAATTTTTACTGATGTTTATTAGCCCCAGTCTGTTTAGCACAATGATAGTCAACTTACTTGATAGGAAGGGGAGGGGTCAAATGTGGGCCCTGACGTCTACAAAAGTCAACACATAGTGTGCAGTTAATGTAATGCTACAGAAAGCTGTCAAGAGACTGTAGACATACTAAAGGAGATGGTCAAATACTACAGGCATGCTACAGGAGATGTTCAACTACTACTGGAATGCTGCAATAGATGGTAAAATGTCTGGGGATACTACAGGAGATGATCAAAGACTACGCGTATGCTATAGGAGATGGCCAAAGGCTACAGGCATGCCACGGAAGCTAGTCAAAGACTATGGACATGCTACAGGAGATGGTCAAACACTACGAGCATGCTACAGGAGATGGTCAAAGACTACAGGCATGCTACAGGAGAAGATCAATGACTACGGACATGCTACAGGCCATATTTAGAGACTGGAAACATTCTATAGGAATTGTCGAAGACTGATTACATGCTTCAGAAGACAGTAATACACAAGGCTGCTAAAAATCACTGCCATTACAGCTTTACAAATTAATACTTCCACATTTGTGCTCCATACAGCCCCCTTAAAAAATGACTTGTGCCACATTTGAACCTTCTCCATTGTAAAAGTTTTGAGGATAAAGAAGAACCTAAAAAGAAAAAGGGATGGACATCACAGAAAAAAACAAGATAGCCTGAAAGCAATGAAACCAAACCATTTTACTACTGGATTCCAGTCTGATGAACAGCTTTCCTTTACTAGCTTGAGTGAGCACATACTGTAGGTAAGGAAAACCTGGATTACTTTTTACAGGGCTCTGAGTGCTGCAGATTGGACACCAGGGGTTTAGACACTTATAACCTAATACCCCAAAGTCAGACAATCGCACACAAAATAGGGTCTATTTTGGGTGGAATTTTACCAGTATGTTTTAAATGTAAAATAAAATCTAAGGGTTGTGACTAAAACTGCACTAATATGGGGAAAACATACATGCTTTAAGCAATAATTATGTCTAGTGGAAACGGAACACAGAACCCCAGTGCTGCTAGGCCACAGTGCTAGCCAGTAGGCCACCGTGTTGTTCAATAAACAAATCACACTTGCATGTGTTTTGACCTCATTCCTCCACTATGAATCTAGTTTACATTCCCTCTCTTCAGACACCATGTGCAGTTAATCAGCCATTAATAGAAATATTGTGGTTAAGCATATTTTAGAAATATGGTTGAGTGCGTTCACACTGTCTTGTCATGTCCACTGAGAACGCATTACGTATTAACATTTCAGCTACCTGGCCATGATCTCCCTGTTTGCATTATCGGTGCTTAGAAACAGCTTGTGCACTGTTCCTTTTTCCAAGATCTTTTTGGAGGTCCCCCCCGAGAGATGGATCAGCACAATTAGTTACATGATGACAGGCCAGATAGTAAAGGTGCTAAGTACCTGGGGATTGGATCCATCAAACCCTCCCTGGTGAATTACTCGCTGGATAGAATGCAGGAGCTGGCTGTAGTCACAGGTCATCTTGCTTGAAGAGCTAGAGGGGAAAGAGAGAATCGAATCACAAATAAAAACAACTCCAATAATCCACCTGTTTTTACCATTTTACTCCATTTCTCAGTAATTGTAAAAGTCTCCATGAATAGGTTGATGGTAAGTCATAATATACCACAGCAGTATAATTAAAGTAGTACTACCCCTTGTATTAAAAGCAAGCTCTCTATTTAAATGCATATAATACGTTCAAATTCAATTACTTTTCTAGAGCTCCTTTGAAATACCTTTATTATATTTATACAGCTTGTTTTTCAGGGTGCAATGCATCCCCCTAACTTCCAGAGCACATTATCTACTCCATGCTCCCCAGCAGGACTACATGTCCATTTAACAGTTACATGAGTGCATGGACATGTGGGATGACCCAACAGAGTTGCTCGGCTGTCCATGAACTGTCAATCAAAGGATCAAGTGAGCGGGATGATGGGAGATCACAAATTCCATTAATCTCTTGCCTCTCTGTAATGTGGGAGCACAGAGCCTTGAAACAGATCCACATAGTCACAGGGGGTGTGGGGTTAGTGCATTTAGTGCATACACTGGGGTGGCTCCATAAAGAGCCAGCTAGTGAGAGGAGCCACTTTAGAGGTCAGGGGGTGCTAAAAAAAAAAAAAGGAAGAAAAAAAGAATCAATTGCTTCAAGGTAGAAACACTGAACAAAATGAATGAAGAGATAAGATAACATGTAAGTGGCTATGTGGTAAATAATTTGATGAATTGGGTTTCATGACACTTAATACAAAAAACTAAAAAACTGTCTTTATTGTTAAAACTGAGGTTCAGTCAGCTTACAAAAAGACCATGCATACTAAGGGTGCACTTTTTGTTTAGTCTCGGGGGATATAACAAAGAGAACTACTTCCCTTGGTGCTCACTGCCCCAGCAGATGGCATGCTTCCCCACAATAGTGAGGGAGCGGACACATGACCAGAGAAGAGGAGTGACAATGTGGGACCAGTCAGGAAATCCAGGAACCAGATGGATGCCAGAATGCACACATTTTCCAAGGGATTCTTCTGGCAAAAAGCATAGATGGGGGTATTTTAAATGCACCTGTGTGCATGAGCCCTATGTGTGTTGGGGAGTCATTATGATCAATCATGATGATTGATAACTCACGCCAATGCACACATGCAGGAAAAACAAAAAAAGACCCGTGCTATAGCCAGGAATGTTCTGTGAATTGTGGTGCACCGTGTGGCCAAAATGCAAAGGTTCCATTAATATGTGCATTATGGGCCCGTTCAAACTGAATAGGCTGCCTTAGCATATCACGCATCAAGGCACATCTATCAACACACTAAAGCACTTAAAGGTAAATGTTTAGATGCACAACAACTCGTAAGGGCCAACCTTGGATTTTAATCATTCCTTCTCTAATATGTATCCTATCTAATAAAAGGCTAGAAGACTTAATTATACAGTTCTATACAACATATTAAAAATGCATATTGATAATAACCTCTTTCCAAAGTGACTTCAGAAGTTAATGACGATTAACTCCAGAGTGTGAAAGTTAATGCCATCAATAACCAATACTGAAACATCTGAAAACAAGTGTGTGGAGTCTCTTGACTCTATGGAAAGCACATTGCTGTGGGAGGTGATGTCTACACAGCGGGTGTAGCAGAAAAGAAAGGGTTATAGGTGAAGGTGTAGGAAACTTCGATGACTTAATTATATCAAGCCTGCCTCACAATGGAGCATGTAATGAATCCGCCATTGCATTTAAATAGTAATCACAGATAATTAACACATAGTTAATGAGCTGCTATCCCAAGTACACCTGATCATTATACCTCTGAGCCCATAGTTTGTCACCGCTGAGAGCAGACTTAAAATAAATGATAAACGAACTCACTGTAGTTTGTGTACGCATGCTACATACATATTCACGGGCACAGCACACTTGTGTTCCACAAAGGAAAACAAATTTAAAACATCACAACTCCCGCATGCATTTCATTGGATATACACTTTTATAAAATTACTATAAATAATTAAATAGACATTTAAAATTAATTAAAAAATAAAAT